GTAGATGGAAGGGAATTATTCCTCCCCTTTTTGGAATTGATTTGATTAATTAGGGATTTGATTTATTAGGGTAAATCAAATCCCTAATTGTGGTAGGTATCAAATCAAATCCTAATTCAATTGGGTAACTCCTCATTTAATTGGGAATCGTGGTAATTAACCAAATCAATTATTAACCCAATTAGGCAACGTTCAATTTAATTGGGTAATCCCCAATTAAATTGAGTAACTCCCAATCAGGTTAATTAATTCCCAATTAGGTCAGATAATCCCCAAATGGAATGAATTATTTGACCTAGGGTTTTGATTTAATTTGGTTACCACATAAACCATTTAGATATCTAAGTGTGGTCAAATAAATTGACGAACGTGATGGTTTTCAAAGACAAACTAAAATGACTACCACTTAATCAAATGGTTAAATTATTCCATTGGTGATTTTTTGTGTAGAGATTATCTTTGAGAGAACACCTAAACAATTGAAGGTTTTGATTATGAAACTAGAACACATAGTGGGCCCAAAGATCATCAATTCAAGCTAATATAAACAAATCGTACAAAAACGCTCAAGTGCTAACCAGTTAGTAACTTAATATGGCGATAACCATTCGTTTTTGGACCTACTCCACAATGTAACTTCATGATTCCAACTTAAAATTTCATTCAAGGATCATTCCTCCAAAGTTCCACCTAAATCGGAAATTAATCATTTAGGCATTTGTATATGACTGAGAACATTTTATTGTTATCTAATATTAATGTGCTCGTCTATTTATTTAGTCACTCTGAAAAATAATTAGTTCAAATCATGAGAAGCATTATGCATTGGGTCTAAATGCGTGGTTAGTTTCTTATTAAGTTACAAATTGTTAGCTCTTGAGCGCTACTATAAACATATATGTTTTGTGACAGTTTCGCATTATGTATTAAACAATAATCTCAATTAATTGAACCTTGTCAATTTTTTACATTTCTTCATGTGGGAATTAAGAAAAAAAAACTATCATTTTATTTTGGAGAGGGGTCACAAAAAGCTTATGGCCGGCCTTAGGCATATAGGGACATATTGACTGTTGGCAGACAAAGAAAGGAACATATGGAAATTCTGTAGAAATATATATGGTAGCATTAGTCAGGCACGTCTATTTCACGCCTATTAAGAGATACAGTTAGAAGTTGTTACGGTTGTAAAGAATTAGTTAAGACTAATGCAAGCTATAAAGCTTAGAGTTTCATTTGTATCTCTAACAGATTGAAGAAAATCAGAAAAGCTTTGTGCAATTCTTTCTTTTCATTTTCGTCTTCTTCCATTGAACCTTCCTTTCTGGTTATCATGGTATCAGAGCATGGACTTGGTTCTGCGTGTAATCTTCTTCGTCTTTGAGTTTTCTTGTTTTTCAATTGTAATTTTTTGTGGCAGGAAGCCGTCCTTCTGTGTATTGTTTTCTGATGCCATTTGTTTCTTGTTCATCATGTTGTCGCATGATTTTGATTGGAGTACATGAGGATAATTTGTTGAAATGGAGATAACAAATTCAGTCAGTTCTTGAGGGTTATGACCTTTTTGGTTGCTTTGATGGTACAGCGGTGTGGTGTCCACCAAGGTATGTAATTACAGTTAAATAAGGGGGCACCAATGAAATTACTGTGGCTCTTATAAAGATTGGATGGTACACAGATAAAGCTTTCCTCAGTTTGCTCTTGCCACTCTTTCTGACGAAGCTATTAAGCATGTGGTTGGTAGTAGAATTCTCATGAGGCTTGGTCTATTCTCAAAGATCGCTATGCTACAGGTTCTCGTACTTAATCATCTTAAGACAGAGTTATTAAATACCATACGGAAAGGTGCGGATTCCATTAATAGATATTTGTAATGGAAGCAAACTCAGGATCAACTCACGACGATGTACCACTAGATATGTGGTTTTCTTAGGCAATAATCTCATCTCATGGCAGTCTAAGAAACAAAGTTCAGTAAGCTCTACTGAAGCTGAATACGAAGCTTTTGCTAATGCATCTGCAGACATTGCTTGGATCAGACAACTGCTCTGTGATCTTCATGTTGTTCTTCCAGATCCACCAAATCTTCATTGTGCCAATTTGCCAGCACTTGCTTTAAGCTATCAGATCCTGTTTATCACTCTCACATTAAACATTTAGACATTGACTTTCATTGTGCTAATCATAAGCTGGGTGCCCCAGCTATAATTGAGGGACAACTATAGAAGTTGTTACGTTTGTTAGAGATATTGGTTGGATTTGTTACTAATTCTGTTTAAGAATTAGTTAAGACCAAGCTATAAAGCTAAACAGTCTCACTTGTATCTCCAACAGATTGAAGAAAATCATCAGAAAAGCTTTGTGCAAATCTTTCTTTTCAATTTCCTTTTCCTCTTCGTTTGTCTTCTTCCACTGAATCTTCCTCTCTGGTTGTCATCATGAACCCCTACAAAGTTTAACTACATACAATTAAGGACAGCTTTGACAACTGAATTGATAAACGAGATTGAAAAAGAATAAAATGCATGAGAGGTAGCAGGAATAATTTTCATTGGAAATAATGCAATCCAAGAGAAGAGTGCATCACTGCATTTGGTAAGTGCCCTCTCAAAAATTAAAGAAGAAATCCTAAGCTTCAGATCGAGATAGGAGGAGGTAAGATAGTTCAAGGCATGCAACTTGCCCTTAGGATTATCTTCAAAGTATCGCTCCCAAAACCAGTGTTGCTTAAGAACTCTTTCTGTCATCTCTTCAATAGGGACACCCTTGGTCTCAGGAATTAAGACCACAACGAAAGTTGTCATGACAAAGACCCAAAATGTGAAGAAGAGGAAAATGCCAAACTTCATGTTGCAAAGCATTGAGAGGAAGGCCTGTGCTATGATAAAGGTGAAAAGCATGTTGGTACAGACAGCCACACTCTGGCAGGCTGAGTGGGCCTCTAATGGGAGCATCTCGCTAGGGATCAACCACCCGAGAGGTCCCAAAGACCACCCGAAGGAGAAAACAAAACTGCAAACCATAAACACCACAAGAATTGCCAAGCCATGGTCGAGGTTGTTAGAGTGATCCTTCAAGTTGTGTCCCATTATTATTGCAACCACCAATTGACACTGGAACATTTGGAAACTAGCTTCTAACAATAGAACACGACGACCAGCTCTGTCGACAAAATATATTGATACAATGGTTGAGAGGACATTGACAGCTCCTGTGATAACAACTGAGTAGAGGGAAGCATCACTCTTTAATCCCAAGGTATGGAACAAAACTGGAGCGTAGAACATGATTGCGTTAATACCAGTGAATTGCTGGAAAATCTGTAGGCATGTAAAACATAACATGTGAGACTATCTGATATGCGTTAAACGTAACTAGGATTTTGAATTGCCCCAGTTAGCACAAGTACTAGTATAGTAGCGGCACCTGCATCCAAATTGCAATGACCAATTGAGGCCTGTTCCTACGCTTAAGGAGGTTTCTGAAAGGATGTTTCATTTCTTTTGCCACATGACTTGCCTCGACAATCTCTAAGAATTCTGGATCCACATTGTCAACACCCCTAATCCTTTTAAGAACTGCTTTTCCTTCCTCCAACTTACCTGGTTCGATCAAACTGTTAGGAGTGTCAGCCACAATGAGAGACCCAACAGTTAGCAAACATGCTGGAATGGCAGCCAAACCTAGTGACACCCTCCATCCATATCCCTCTGTAATTCTGTGCATACACGATGAAAGTACATTAATTAATCACTGGTATATAATTACGGGTGATTAATGGAAACGATTGCTTATTCTGTGAAGCCATATATCTAACTCGTTCAATTGTTACCTAAGAAGTAGAGAGAACTACCACTAAAATGATAGATGCCGGTTCATTTATCTTCTTTTTCAAATTGGGGAGGATGGCTTACTTGTTAGTTCTATAATTTATAAGATTTGCAAAAAGAATGCCAATAGCGTTATTTAGCCGGAAGAGTGTGTAAAGTGCCCCTCGAATTCTTGTGGGTGCAATCTCCGAATGGAAAAGCAGCACGACCTGTAATTATATTCATTAAGGAGTAAATATTGTGTTCAAAAGCATGTGATAGAAAAAGCTAGCAAGCATAAGCAATTGATAGTAGGCAGTAGTTTATAAATTAACATAAGATTAAGAAAGTATTATAATTATATGTACCCGGTTAGCAAAACCAACTCCACAACCAAGCAAGATCCTCCCAATGATAAGCATGGCAAGGTTAACAGCTGCAGCATTAAAAACTGTTCCGGCCATGGATAAAATGCCGGCAACGAACATGGTTAGCTTTCGGCCCAGCGCTCGTGTCATGTAGGATGCAAAGAAGGTTGAGATTAAAGCAGCGAGGTACAAGGAAGATGTGAACAATTGCAAGCCTTGATTATTGTATTTGCAGTAGTTGCTCTCGAGTCCAGGGTCTTGAGTCTTCTTATACACAACCGGAAATAATTCCTTCAGGAAATGAGGCATTGATGTAACACCCCCTGCATCCATCAAAATGATCACATGTATCAAATTAATTAAATTATGAAAGAATTCCACTAAGTTTTTAATTAACAAAAAGAATTAGTTGATTATCAATTCTAAGTGGATAATACGAAAAGCTCCACGATGCCTACCTGAAATACCAACATCATAACCGATCATGAGGCCTCCGCTAGCGGTCATTATGAAAGAAATGATCACTGGAGGCATGATCTTTGCTTCAACGTCTCCTCCTCCTGATGCGGCGCCAAATCCACCACCTGCCATGGTTTCAGGTTCAAAGTGTACACCTTATTTCTCAGTATCTAGTTCGATGACTGTGGAGATTTGCATGTACTAAACGACCTCAAGCAAACCCATTTTTTGAATAGCAAGGTGAAAATGAATTATGTGTGCTTGAGGGATTTATATAGAGTACCTCCCAGCGATAGAGAGTGAACTGCGTAGAAAATGGATGATTTAGTCTGTGCCATGGTCAGGATCTTTCCCCAAGGCATGATCGATGGTTGGTTTCTTTCTTGATTTGCTTGGTTAGGCTTTAACGAGAAGTTCGTTGCACTGAAGTTGATCCAGTCTTTTTAGAGTAAAGCTAGGAGGACCACATTTAACGGTATCATGTGGCCCCTAACATTATTCATTTCAGAAACTCAAGAATTGTGCTACGTTTGCTAACGACCCTTACCAAACAGAGCATCCTTACCAAAACATCTCCAAGCTAGTATAACCAACTTTACAAATCTGATTGTAAATATAAACTGCAAATTCGTGACTAAATTTGAGCATAAATTATAAAACCTTAAGGATACCAACTCTTCATTTCGTTAGAAGACATCCCAAATTCGAATTCCCTTTCTCCTAAGTTAAAAAGAAAGAAGAAAAAAAAACTAAAAGTCAACTTTAAATTCGTGATTGGATTATTGTTCGGGTACAAGAAAGATCAGGCTGTGTTGTCCAATCAATTAGGTTATGTGTGTGTCACAAGAGAAGGAAATTAAATGGAGACCGGAAAACTCAAACATAACTGCAAACAAGCTAGACAATGCTAGAAAGGAACTGTAACAATATAGAAATAAAGCATGAACAATTGTAATGTAGCTACAATTGAGGAAATTAAGTACCAAAATTAAATAGAGCCACAGGCACACAGAGATCGAGTGCTTCGAGGCTAGCTAACACAGATGAAAGAAAACTTCCTACAAAAAGAAAATTTGGTCGAGGGAGTCGCCATCAGAGGCTATGTAAGGCCAGTGCTTCAAGCATACCCCTTTTCCTTCGGTTCATCTTCGGAGTCATCCATATATCTCTTCCAAAACCAGTGCTGCCTCCAGACTACGTCGCTCATCTCTTCAATAGGGACACCCTTGGTCTCGGGAAGTAAGAAGTAGACGAAGACAGTCATGATCAAGCACCAAGCTGCGAAGAACAAGAATATGCCAAACCTGAAGTGGCAAAGCATTGAAAGAAAGGCTTGTGCTATAACAAATGTGAAAAGCATGTTGATACACACTGTCACACTCTGCCCAGCCGAACGGGCCTCTAGTGGGAATATCTCACTAGCAACCAACCAGCAAAGAGGTCCCCAAGACCAGCCAAATGAGCCCACAAAAGAGCAAATAATCACAACCACAAGAATTCCCATGCCCTTGTCGAGGTCGTTCGATTGATCCTTCAGTTTCCATCCCAGTATGACTGCAATGACCACATGAGAAATGAACATTTGGATGCCACCTTCTAGCAAGAGCACGCGTCGACCAGTTCTGTCCACGAGGAAGATTGACACAATGGCTCCTAGGACCATGATACCTCCTGTTATAACTGATGAGTAAAGGGAAGCATCGTGCTTGAATCCCAAGGTCTGGAACAAAACTGGAGCGTAAAAATTGACTGAGTTAATTCCTGTGAATTGCTGGAAGAACTGCAGCAAACAACATGACCACATACAAATTAAGACAGTCAAAATTTGGGAAAGTTTTCTTGCCAGACATGCTATCAAACTGTGATGATCAGTTGAGACTATACGTAAAAAAAACTGTAAAAAAAACTGTGAAATATTAATGACCTGTAAAAAAACTGTGATGATCAGTTGAGGTCTATTCCTACGCTTAAAGAGATTTCTGAAGGGATGCTGCACTTCTTTAGCCGCACGACTTGCCTCAAGAATCTCTAGGAATTCTGGATCGACATTGTCAATACCCCGAATCCTTTTAAGAACTTTTTTTCCTTCCTCCAACTTACCTCGTTGGATCAAACTGTTTGGAGTGTCTGTTACAATGAGAGCCCCGAAGGTTAGCAAGAGTGATGGAATGCCAGCCAAACCCAGTGAAATCCTCCATCCATATCCCCCTTCAATTCTGCATGTGGTGGCCCAAAACATTATAGATGGGAGTGAATATTTATGGTACAAAAACAAATCGAAATACGGAACCTCACTAAAATATTATTGTGTAAAAGACTTATTAATAATTATTATATAATTAGTGAGGCTCCTCTTTAGCCTTCGACATGCATTATGTTATCAATTCATGTCGCAATATATGTATATTTTACTAGCAATACCTAAAATATGAACTTTGTAGTTCATCTATGTTATAACACGTGGACTAGTAACATCGGGTACTTCCACAAACAAAAATTTAACGTCGATTAGGAAGAACTGGGCTGGCTTACTTTGCAGTTCCATAATTGATAAGGTTTGCTACAAGAATACCAATGGTGCACATGAGCTGGAAGAGTAAGTTAAGTGCCCCACGAATTCTTGTGGGGGCAACCTCCGAAAGGAAAAGTGGCACCGCCTGTTATAGATAACCAAATTATTTACCGAATAATTAATTAACTAATATTAACTAACATCATTAAGAGCAGGTTAAATAAGATTTGATACAAGTATAGTAACATATATTCATGTACCTGGTTAGCAAAACCAACTCCACAACCAAGTAAGAGCCTCCCAACAATAAGCATGATAAGGTTCTGGGCTGCAGCATTAAGAATCGTTCCGACTATAAAGAAAATCCCAGCAATGAACATGCTCATCTTCCGACCTAAGACCCTGGTTGTGTATGATGCAAAGAAGGTTGCTATCAAGGCAGCGATGTACAAAGAAGATGTGAACAATTGGAGGCCTTGATTGTCGTATTTACAGTAATTGCTCTCAAGCCCTGGAATCTGTTGCTTCTTGTATACAACCGGGAAGAATTCCCGTAGGAACTCCGGCATCGATGTAACACCCCCTGCATTGGTATATATCGAATTAAATAAAAATGTAGTGCGTATGTATGAGATCGTTAGCTAGACAGTCACGTATATATGTACCCGAAATGCCGATATCATAACCGAACATGAGGCCACCGCTAGCGGCCAATATGCAAGAAATGACCACAATAGGTGTGATCTTTGCTTCAAATTCTTCGCCATCCGTCGGCCCGCCAAATCCCCCCGCCATGATTCTGATTTATTTATTTTTCTTATGTTTTCAAACTTACTTAGCTACACTTAATTAGTTTTTAGAACGTAATTGTATATAGAATAAGACGTGACGCAGGTCAACAAAGAAGGAGAGAGTAGCTCGGTGAAATGAGGTGTGTGCATGAGGGGCTTATATATTCAAGGCAACAGAGAGTGAAAGACGTACGTAGGAGATGGATGATTTAGTACGTGCCATGGTCAACATCTTTTCCCATGGCATGACCTGCGGCTGTTGTTCGTTCTTGTTGCTTGGTTAGTCATGAAGGTACGAGAAGTTAGTTGCACCACAGTTGATAAAGTCTTTCAGAGTAATGTTAGAAGAACCACGTTTTCTAACCAGATTCTTTAGCTTACCATGCGGCTGAAATTAGCAGCTTGTACATAATAAATTAAAATGACAAATGCACATCAAGACGTTATGCAACTGTACGTAGTCAGAAAAATGCATACGCTTCCTGGTTTAACTTTTTTTTGGGCTCTCAATGATACATTTTACTTCATAAAAAGACAGAAAAGTTGATACATATTCAAATTCTTATTGAGGAGTTGGGTTTAATCCTCGGATTTGATGGCTTTGATCCAAGCCCTTTGACTTTTGTGCTACATAGAATTATATTCTTTTTTTAATATTTTATGATGTAATCTTTTTATTATTTTATTTTTAATCTTTTTTTTATCCAATGTTGCCCCTTATGACTTGAATAAGGTAATGGTCATTTAAATGCAAATCTGACATTTAAATGCAGTCTAAGAGGGAAAGTGAAGGTAATTAATAAAATGATAATTATTTATGGGAGAGAAAGGGAAAAGCCGCAGGAGAAATGGGTAAGTGATTAGGTGCAACGGGTGATTTTTAGTCTAATACAATTATACTGATGTGGACTCATTAAAATTGATTAGATTAATTAATCTAGTGGTTGACATTCTTGTACATGTGTGTAAATACACTGATGCTAAATGAAGAGGCTCGGGATCCGTAGAAAAGCGTGCTATGTAAGGTAAGAAAATATATTCCTAAATTACAAATATACAGCCCTAAAGTAAGGTGTTAACTATCTAAACAAGGTAACAAAATGAACTTTCTTGCTATGAATCGTTCCATATCTTCATTATTCCCCTTCAAGCTAGAGTACGGAGATCAAGAATACCCAGCTTGTTTTTCAGTTGTTGGAATTGATCTTTACCTAAAGACTTGGTAAAGACATCTACGAGTTGCTCCTTTGAAGGAATATAGGCAGTATGTAAATAACCATTTTGAATCTTCTCTCGAACAACATGACAATCGAGCTCAATATGCTTGGTACGCCCGTGATATACTGGATTAGCTGCTATGTATAAAGCAGCTTGGTTGTCACAATAAAGTAAGCTTGGTGTGGTGTGACATACGTACCAAGATCATGAAGCAAATATCGTAACCATTGGAGTTCACAAGTTGCCATAGCCATCGCTCTATATCTTGCTTCCGCTGATGAGCGTGATACAATATCTTGCTTCTTTGTTTTCCATGAGATAGGACTTTCTCCAAGAAGTACAAAATAAGCTGTAGTTGACCTTCGTGTCATTAGATAGCTAGCCCAGTTAGAATCGCAATAAGCTCTCAATTGAAAATTATTAGAATTTGATAACAAAATCCCTTGGTCCGGAGTCCCTTCCAAATGATGTAATAATCGATATGCAGCCTCTTTATGAGTTGCACGGGGACTTTGCATGAACTGGCTCAAAATATGAACTATGTGAACAATGTCTGGCCTAGTGATGGTGAGATATATCAAGCGACCCACCAATCTTCTATAGGTTTCTGGATTATGTAACAGTTCTCATCTTCATTGTTTAACTTCAGATTTTGTTCCATGGGGAAGAAAGTAGGACGTGCACCCATAAGACCCAAGTCTTTCAAAATGTCGAGTG